CATGGTTAAACAGGAGATACACACACACACACACACATATATGAATGTTTGGATACTCTACTATTATCCTACATCTGGATGGGATGGAAGCTCTTATATCACTTGTGCTTTTGTGAACCAGTCCATCAGTTGCTTTGCTTTCAAAAAGGCAGGGTTGTAGCTCTATGAGGCTATAAGGATAAGTAAAGGATTATGTTTAGATGCACAGTACCTCTAAAATGATTAAAGTCGGTATGAAAACGGTATTTTTTCTCTAGTTTCCATATGTGTTAAGGTTTAGAATTGGCTGTTGGATGAGAACTGAGCATCAGTTCCCTGGAGGGCCAGTGGTGAAAATGGTTCTTGGGAACAGACATTGCTGGGTGGGATGGAGTTACAGTTGGCATTAAGTGTTTTTGTTTGGTGAGTAGTGGCGAGTAATTGCTGATGACTGATAGGAGGAAAACTCTGGACTTTGGAAAAATAAATTGCAAGTGGTGTTTGAAAGGAATGTTTCATCTTGTTAGAGGGGAAAAAAAATGATCTCTTGGTTTTGTGTGGCACTTCTTTTGGTTGTTTGTTCTGTCTTCAGAGTATAAATCCCTGCTTTGGTAGTGACATTGGTCTTTTGAATTAAGGAGATGTTTAGCACTTGACTCCTAAACATTGATTTAATTGGGGAGTATGTATGCCCACCAGCAAAAATATCATGTCCTCAATATAATCCTTGAAAAAATAAAAGTGCTAAACCCCAAAGATTTTGAGATTGTTTTTGTTAACCTCAATTTTCCGAACATGTAGCATTTGGAAAGGGTTTGGTGGGTTTAATTCTTTATATTTCCTTTATGTTTTACCAGGCTTTCAAATGAAATGTATATTTTTTAAAGAAACCTACTCTAACACTGACTTCCCTAGATGACCTAATAAATGAACTACCACAGAAGTTCCTGATAAAATAATGAGAATTCATGTCACTTCATCTCCAAGATCAACCATGATGAAATAAAGTGTATTTGACTGTGGTAGTTCAGCTGGGATGTTTTCCTCAAATAATTGCTCATCTTCAGGTCCTGGATCTGACAATGGTGATTTCACATCCTGGAATTTGAGGGTGAAGAAAGGAGTGTCTAATGTCTCTGATAGTCTTTAAAAGCAGCCTGACCTCACTTTATTTGGAGTGGATGCTTGTAAGACTGTACCTTATATCCCAGAAAATAATGCAGGCACATACACTTGATGGGGAATGATAACATCATTTAATAATACCTTTACCACTTCAGTTTCTTGACTGTCATAGTCTGTGGTCTATGAAGAGCTTATCAGTGATCTGCTTGCTCATTTTACTAAACTGAACTAGTTTCTTGCAGCCATCCAAAAGAGAATTTTTCATGCTTTCCAGGAAGGAGTCAAAGAGCTCTGTAAGCTATTCCTTGTGTACTTCTGAAGTGCTTCTTACCTTGATATACAGGTGCCATTGAAGTCCTTAAACACTTGCCATTGGCTACATGTTTATGCATTTCATTCAGTAAAGGGCATCCCAGTAGTTCCCTCCCTGGTACCACAGGTATTGGTACAAAAGGTCACTGGAGACCTGTTACCAAAAATTCAGCAATGATGCTGAAAACAATTCGGAATCTAGTTAATGCACCATAAATCAATGGGTAACAAAATGCCAACACTGTCAACAGAACTTCCAAGGAATGTAGTGCAAATTGGGCACACTTCAAGAAGAGAAAAAAAAAGGAGCATTAGCTCTCTACAGCCACTTCCTTTTGCTCTGTGAAGAACATCATGTCATCCCTGATCATGCCCAAGCCTGATCTATTATCTTCTCTCTAACAGTGGTCAGTGTCAGATGTTTCAGACACTGGACATTGTTTATTATTAGCCAGTCACCATCAAAGCATTTAATCCTATCAGTATCTTGAGCTTGAATGAACTCAAGTTATTTTGAGATTGCTGAAGGAAGGTGAGGGGAAGGAGTTGTTTCAACAAGTGATCTGCACTAATTGCAGGAGTTGAAACCTTCCCTCATCCTGAACTGGTAATATTAAAGGCATGCTCCAGGATGGCTGTTCTGACAGAATAATTAAATATTCAGAGAAGCCAGTAGTGTCTTGACTGCACTTTGGTTGTATTTCTCTGATGACCTAACAGGTTAGCCTCAGGGAACAGTCCTGCACTGGAGGAACAGTGTGAAAAGTGGGGTTTAATGTTTTGTGTTGTATTCTGGTTTTATTTGTAGCTGTAGTCTTTTTCTGATGCCCATATTGTATCGTTGCCATATTATTGAGAGAGAAGAGCTGATCTGGTTGTCTTTTTCTGATGCCCATATTGTACCGTAGCCATATTATTGAGAGAGAAGAGCTGATCTGGCTCCAGGACCAGGTGTACAGCATCACACAGAGCATGGATTCAACTGACTGGGAAAGGAGGTGCACTCCAGTAGTTCATTTTATCCCCAGGGTGTTTCCCTGAACGAGTGAGATAAAGGCATGAAATTAAATGGTGCTGTTCCCTGATCTAATGCAGCCCTGCCACTCTAATTATTGGGGCTGTTTCTCAGCCTTTTTCTTATAAGCAAATGCTGCCCTGGGGACTTGGAAATTAATGTGTTGATTTGAGTAAGTATCTATTTGGCACACACCTTGAGGCACTGCAGCAACAGAACTGCTAAATAAGAACTTCAGGGTAAAATGTAGAGAAAGCAGAGAATCCAGCCCTGACAGTGGCAGCTTGAATGCTGAAGCTAAATTACTGTGTGTTGGATATCTCCAAGAGCAATGATTGTAGTTGGTTTAGGCACCTTGAAATTTGTTTGAACAATGTTGTTTCACACAAGTCCTGCAGTCTCAGCGTTGGTATAGAAGGACTATTCTGAGTAAAAGCTCTAGGTATAGCAGACCATACTATTTTGGAGAATAAGAGGAAGTTGCTGGATGTGGCCTTAGGGACAGAGAAAAGGCCCTGGCAGTGTTTAACTTAGTGGAGTAAATACACCCTACAGATGTGTCTACGTGGACAGCTAGAGTGGATGTTGAGAGCAAGGCATGTGAATTCTCTCAAACGACATGACCTGTGTTCTTCCCTGTGTGCATCACCATGTCTTGGAAGGCAGGATGATGACCATGAGGAGGCAGTGCAGCTTGCAGCAGTGAAGAGTAACTGCATACCTAACTGGCCCCTCAGTACAGTATAGCAAAGATATTGAGAAGCTGGAGGAAGCCACTTTGGCTGCCACGGATGAAAGGATACTGGAACATATGATAAATCATAACAGACCAAGGGAGCTGCTCCGCTCTTCTAAGAGAAGTGAAGAATAAGGAGAGTGGGATCTCATTACTGTTTTACACTACATAAACCTGTAGAGTAAATGGAACCAGTCTTTGAAATGCACAATGAAAAACCAGAGGAAATAAACCAAAGTCATAATAGGGTAAATTCCAAATGCATGTAATGAAATTTTTTTTCACTGTGAAAGTCGTTAAGCAATGGCAGGGGTTGCCTGGAGAGGTCGTGGAGGCCCCATCCTTGGAGATATTCAGAAATGGACAAGGAGCTGAGAAACCTGGCCAAAGTTGGCGCTGCTTTGAGCAGAAGATTGAACTAGGTAACTTCAAGAGCTATCAGCTGAAATGATTCTGTGATTATGGCCCATCGGGAGAATAGTCACATTTTAGCCATTTCTTTTAAACCAAGTCTAAGTTATATGTCAGTTTCCCTTTTAGGAATTTCTCTGGGGATTGTTTCTCTTAATGGTTTTGTCTTTTCTCTTACTTTGTCTGTTAAGAAAAGAGTCTATCAGCAACAATCCAGCAATGGTGCCTCTTTTCTCAAGAGGTTGAGGAAGACCTGTGTAGGGCATTGTGAGACTGCTGCTGGTAGACTTGTGTTGGCGGCCAGGAGAGGAAAGGGGACTTCTGACCTCATTACATAGAGGAATTCTGCAGAGTTGAATGGGACCATGGCTGATGCTGACATTGGACATCCTACAGAGTTCTCTGCACAGATGTCTGTATCAGCACCACAGTGGTTTCCCCTCGTGTGAGAGTGGCCAAGCCAGGATTTGTCTGGCAGTTGCTGTGGCAACCATGACCACAAGCAGCCCTTTTAACTCAGTTTAACTTTAATGAGCTTTATCCCCATGCTTTATATTTGTTAACAACTTTCTTATTGCAAATAACCTCATCTTCTAACAAACAAAGAGGGATGTGTTTCTGCATACTCTTTTCCTTCTAAAAAGGTTGAAACTTTGCAGAACTGGAGAGAAACAGAAGGCACAACCAGAAAAATTTCAATGGTATATTTGAAGGGAGATCAAAGGTGTGACTGCTGGACTGTAACAGAATAGGACCTCCTACAACCAACTGTGATTCCAACTTTCTCTTTAGTGGCTCTGTGTCTGGGACTTTCTTGCTCATGATCTTAAGGTCACAGGAGAAGAGAGGTTGGAAGGGACCTCAGTTCTGTAGTTTACACTCCTGCTCAAATCAGGGTCAACTAGAAGGTCAGACCAGGTTGCTCAGGGCTTTATCTTCTAAGATTTGGAAAACTTCCAAGGATGCAGACTGCAAAACTTCTCTGGGCAGCTTGCTCCACTACTTGACTGCCCTCACAGTGAAAAGATTGGTCTATATACCTGGTCTGAAACTCTCTTGTTTCATCTTGTGCCTATTATCCCTCATCCTCCTACCATGCACCAGTGTGAAGAGCCTGACTCCATTTCCTTGATGCCCTCCCTGTAGAATCTGGCTGGCTGCTACTAGTTGCCCCCAAAGCTGTCTCTTCTCCAGTCTGGACAAACCACTTCTTACAGGGCAAATACTCCAGCTCCCAACAGTCTTGGTGGCCCTCTCTTGAACTCACTCCAGGTTACTGATGTATATAAATAGTAATAATAAAGAAATAAAATCTGCATCCCTCATTGCTTGTCAGTTGTGTGTTTGTTAGATTGCACTGCTGCAAATCACCTAAATATTAACTACCTTTACTAATTATGGCTTTTGTCATGTTTTTTGCAGGTTACATATCACAAGTGCTAAAGAATTACACTGACCATGCCTGTGATGGAGAATATGTCTCTCTGAGATGCCCTCACAGAACCACCATCAGCATCCAGTCTTCCTTTTACGGCCGAATCGTGCCAAGTCACCAGATGTGTCCTTCCCGCTATCCCCACTCCTATGCAACTTTAATTAAAGAAGATGTTGCCTGCTCAGTTGGCACTTCCCTTCAGGTATTGCATGTTCAACTGGATCTGTTCATTTTGGACTTTATCTTTCCTTGGCCTAGCAGCACAGACTTATTAAGCAGTGCTACCCAGCATGGGAGCACTGACTTCTCACACAGCTTAGTGGACAATTCATCTTTGTAGTTTAGACAGGACTAAATTAGATTTTGCTGATTTTATTAATTTTGGTGTAACTCTAGTCAGTAACAGGTCAGGAATGTGGTTGAAACAGAATTACACTGCAAGACCACATTATGTTTGACAGGGCTCGAAGATTTTTTTTAAAAATAGCTTTCTTTCCCAATGGTGAACTTTTTCAACACATCTAGAAGTTGCTGTGTTGTACATTTTACTTCAGAACTGATCCTGTTTCAAGAGGCTTTTACTTTGGTAACTTGAAACCCAGTGAGAATCCTTGGCTTTACTTCTTCTGACTCACTTGGCTCTTAGGCCACTGTAAGTGATCATGCATCACTTAAGCTTATAATGTCCCAAACACCAGTAGTTAATCAGCTCTGTCCATTTGTGTAGGGCATGTTGACTATATGTATCCTCCCAAGGGCACGTGTGACGTCAACAAATCAAAGGATTATTTGGAAGGTGCCAGTGTTACTCAACTGTCAGTAGGAACAACTAAAATTAGAAACATGAGTTGGCTGATGTTGTTGAGATGAATGGGGATGTTGAGGTAAGCACAAGGCTTTCCAAGTGTAGGATTTAGAACTCTGAAAACTTCTGGGCAGAGCATCTGTGTGTTTTTGGCTGTGAATCAATCATAACTCATAATAAAAATTTATAGAAGTACTAGATTCATGAACCTACAGGGCTAGTGAATAATTTCATTTATAATTTGGCTCAAGGCCAGAGTTTCCCACATCACTTCTCACTCTTGCATCCAGGTTTTTTAAGAGGAATTTACAGCATTTTTTAAAAAGTTGTTACGAGCGCTTTGGCTTCCAAGTGTCAGAGGTAAATTCTCAAGATTGCACAGGGCTGGTGTTTGTCTGTGGTGTAACCCTTAAGCTGACAGGTTTGCAGTTTCCCTTGTAGCACTTCCACTGCACAACAAAAGACTGCTATAGTATGGGAGGACATGGTCCTTATCAGTGAAAGGTGGCCTGAAGACTTTGGCAGAGGCTGACCTTCCCTGCTTTCTTTTGCTGATCTCCTGCAAAATTTGCCTAAAATATTTCATTTACTGGCATGATTGATAGGTACTTGCACAGCCTTATCCTTTGTGGGTGAGTGGCCCACTTAAGGCATCTGGAAGAACTTCAGAACAGGGAATATGTAACCTTTGGCTTTCCATGCCATGGTTTGATGTGCAGGAGAGATTTCAAAGAAATCCTTACCTCCCTGCCTTAGCTCCTTATGTCCTCAGAGCTGTTATCCATTAGCTCTGCCCCTCACACTTACAGTGCTGGTAATTGCAGCTCCTCTATTTACCAGAGTGTGAACTGTGTTCCTTGCAGGCAGTTTTGCAACAGATCTCTTGTACAGTAAGTTAGTTACATGACTGAGACCAGAACTTTCCTATTCACCCATTTTTGGGGATGCAGATGTGCTAGGGAAGTAGCTGACATTCTTTGTTCTGCCACAAATTTCTTGGGGGTTCTTGGGCAAGATCCTGTGTCTCTTTGGAGAAGATCCACGATGTCTCTTTGGTGCCCCCAAATCTGGCTCAATGTGCCATGCTCAGCTAGGATAGGATGAGTCCAATTGCCAGAGATGAATCTTGTCTTCTTCCTCAGTCCTGGAGGGGTGAGGTCTCCCTGAGGGGCAAGCCAGGAACTCCACAAGCTGAATGGCAAAGTGCCTGCAGCTCGCTGGTAGGAAACTCATGTATTTGGAATTGGAAAGCTGTAGACAAGGAAATTGTGTGTATTTTTGTGGTTTTCAAACTCAGCTGGATGGCTGCTATAAGCAGGACCAATTGCATGTACTGTCTGTTTGTTAGTAATTTAAAAAAATCAGCCAAACGGAACCCTTCAAAATTAAGTGTATAAAATCACCGTGTCTAATCAAACCCATGACTGTATAGATTCTCTGCTGCTCTGGAGAGTGGCCTGAAGGGAGTGTAAAGGGCAGTTAGTGATACTATTCCCTACAAACACTACCTGTAAGTAACAGTTAATTGCCATTTAGAAGCCCTGTCCCCTGGAAATGTCCTGTTCAGACATTGTTTCTATGTTACAAAGGGAAAAGTAAGGGTTGATGACACTGAGACAGCCATGACTAATACAGCCTTGTGAGGTTGGCTGCCAGGATCCCTTGCTTTAGTCACTTGTTTTTGTTTGAAATGAAATGCAGACCACTTGGGAGAGCATGTCTAAGACATTAAGGCCGTGACCCCAAACTACACATTTCTTAGCAGATCACGTTTCTGACACCATGATGTCAGATTCAGTGGGAGATCTTCAACACACAAAGAATTTGGGACATTCAGACTGGGATTTCAGTTTTGATGTGGTTGGTCTCTTGTTAACTTTTAGATAAAGCCCCACAAATATGGAGAGATCAGAAAAACAAAATGAAGTTGTGTTGAAAGCCAGACATGATTTGCTTTTTAAACAGCTTCCCTGCTCTCCCCATTCCACTTGGTTTAACAGAGAAGCCCAGAGTTAGCACAAGTCAACAAGCAGACTTGCTGAGGGTGTACTCAGTTCCACTGTCCATGTTGCTAACAAAGATGTTAAACAGCACTGGTCCCAGCACCAACTTCTGAGGACCATCACTTGTCTCCATCTGGATATCGAGCTGTTGGTCACAACTCTTTGAGTGCAACCACACAGCCAGTTCCTTACCCAACGAGTGGTCCATTCATCAAATCCATATTGTTCCTGTTTAGATACCAGGATGTCATGCAGGACAGTGTCAAATGTGTTGCCCAGATCCAGGTAGATGACATCAGTTGCTCTTCCTTTGTCCACCCATACCATGACCCCATCGTAAAAGGTCACCAAATCAGTCAGGCAGGATTTGCCCTTAGTGAAGCCACATTGGCTGTCACCAATCACCCCTTTGTTTTCCACGTGCCTTAGCAGAGCCTTCAGGAGGATTTGCTCCATGATCTTACTGGGCACAGAGGTGAGACTGACTGACCTGTCGTTCCCTGGGTCTTCCTTTTTTCCCTTTTGGAAAATGTGGTTTATGTCTCCCCTTTTCCAGTCAGTGGGAACTTTGCCAGGCTGCCAAGACTTTTCAAATATGATGAACAGTGGCTTTGCAACTTCATCAGCCAGTTTGTTCAAGAGCCATGGATGAATCCCATCAGGTCCCATGGGCTTGTTCACCTTCACGTCCTTCACCAACCTTTGCCACTTTGGAGCAATTGTGCATGTACAGTTGTTCTGAGCACGCGACCTAATAATTCTGAGAGCTTGAAGATTTCTGGTAGGTCTGTGCATTATGCTTTCACAGGGGAGTTTTTCTCTTGCTCTGTAAATGCATGTCATCCAGATAGGGTTGATCAAGCCCATTTTTAATCTGCACAACGTCTGATTTTATTAGTGTGAGAATATGGAGAAGAAGCTAAATGACATTGCTGCACAACAGATGAAGACATGGGAACATGTGGAGACACCTTTTACTCCAAGGAGATCTGCTAGGGAGCATCCTCATCTGCTTAACTGCTCCCTTATGCCATGGTTCTCTCACCTGTCACAATACTGCATACATTTGCACTTCTCTGCCATGGGGACATCCCATGAGGTCCTGCCTCTGGAGAAATAAGGAAGCTGATAAACAGATACAGCAGAAGTGTATGTTTATTCATACGAACACATACATTTTGGCATAAAAGACAAAGGAGAAACAGGTGTGTGAAGTGTTCTGATGAGTGCCTGCTGATAAGTTAATCTCTTTAGTAAAAAACCCTACTCATTCCTAGCCAAGCTCACAAAACATGACTTGTGCCTGCAAAAATACCTGGAGGCTTGTGTATGTTTGAAGGAAGCTGCTCAGGTGAAGGGGGAGAAGTTTGGAGTGTCTTGTTTATAAAGCTTTTTGCAGCTGCTCATTCCTGGATTCGTGTTTCTGATGTCCCTGTTTTCAGCAATAAACAACTCAAAGTCTGTATGGAAGAGTGTTTAATGGTTGGCCTAAAATTATTGCCTATTAACAGAAAACTAAATTACACTTTACAGCAGATTACCTGCAATATTATCATCTTGGTAAATTGGCAGGAAAGTAAACCCACAGTTTATTTAGAAGGAAGACAGAAAGCCCTGGAGCAGAGCTTGTATAGAAGGGAAATAAAAAGCCCTGGAGATGCATTTTTATCATGTTTTTGTTTTCTATGGTGTTTCTGCTCCCAGATACTTATCAAAGATGTTGCAGGGTAACTTCTGTCTTCATAGAATC